CCCCCCCCATCCAAAACGAATACCGGGCTTTGAAGCGAACGGATGTTTTGATTATTTGAAATTACGTATAATTTAAACTCCTTTACCGTTGCATCCAGACCGTAACCAATTTTACTTCGCTACTTTGGAATTAAAAACGTGGTTCATTTAACTGATCGAATTGCACCCACAGACGAAAAGGGTGCAGAAACTTTTTTTTCAAGACCCCGTAATTCTGTCATCGCAGCAAACGATCAGCAGCGTCCATGCAATTCAACTAAGCCTAAAACTGAACTACTTCCCTTATTCAATAAAGCTTAGATATTGAATATAAGCTTGTGTTTGGAATACTGTAGTTTGCAAGCTAAGAAATATGATTCGCATTTACACTCACACATAAGTTTAGTGTACAAACGGTCATTCATCCCTCCTTCATTACTCGCTACGTCTGCTTCAACGCCATGAAGAAACAAGAGCTTCACATTTTACTAGTTGAGTCATCAATGCCTACAGGTTCGTTTCTGTAGTGTGGTATTTCTGTTGTTTTTTCGTTTTCTGTTGCTTATTCGCGTACTTCATTATCATGCTTGAAGCTAGGTTTAAACTTAGCGATTCAGTTGTCGCAGCATTACAGATTCGTGCGGGGCTGTTTACTCTCTGACTTAATCTGTAAATCTCAAAATAATTTGCTTCACTGAATCAAGTCATTCATCAACGAAAACCGGTCAATAATAAGTGATCTGTAGTTGTTGACAGTCACTGCTGAAAATTAATCAGCAGCTGAACGATGAATGAAAAGTAATAATGAATTTTGGACAACTTCTTCGTAGTGTTTCTGTCACTGACAAGTTTCAACAACAGGTGCGGATGGAACTATTCGATCCATATAACAAGACAAACAGAGAAATAGAAACCTACGCAGATGAAGAAAGGTTATAAGGCTAGAAAAAATATATTTGATTAAGTGAAACTTTAGCCACGTGATATTCCTTCTTCAGCACTAATCAATAATGGTGAAGAGTTTAAAACAATTTCTGAGGGTTCAGAATGCTTTACTTATTCAAATATTCTTTTTTAAGGCTTCCAATCGTCTCATCCATGATATATTATCATAAGAAGCTGTTTGTGTCTTTTCGAAGAGAAATCTTCGTAATTCATCCAGTGCTCGTACCGCTGTTAATTATGCTGAACTATGGTCATTGCATGTATAAACTATACTATAGCTTTGATTTCTCCGAGGAATCACCAGTTTAGTAATTTTCAGTGATTTGGTTAGGGTATTAAACTCCATTTTGATTTATTACTACTGGGGGAGGGGATGATGACTCGCAACTTTAGAGTTCAATGTCCAGATTTCTGCGCCAACGAATTGCGGCCGAGGTAACATCGGTTATACTGCTGCTGAACTTTCGTAGCGTCAATTCAGACATTGTCCTCGCCAGTACACCAGTACCTGTCGATCGAGCACGTGGCTTGCCACACCGAGATGCAGATTTTATTCAGGAGTAATAGTTGCTGCATAGTTCTTAGTACTGTACTGATATAACTTGTAAATTGAACAGTGTTCTTCTATGTCCTTCACGTTTCTTACCGTTGGCTTCATATGCACACATGGATCATAAAAATGCATAGATCAGTAACGTTCAAAGCTATACTTATAAGCTTACTCGTTCTCGTTGCAACGTACAATTATAGCAACAAATTTGGTGAAAGCCAACTCGTTTACATGAAATTTTGCTATCTTTAAGACACCTAGCAGAAATTAACGTTGAGAGCGTTTTATTAATAGCTGACGTCAAAGCTTAGGTGCATGCATGTGGATGAACAGAGCTTGTTTCACAAAGATGGTCTGCGCATTTGGTCTTCCTAAGTTTGAAGAACTATTAGGCACCGACTGCACCAGCCATTCTACTGCGTTTGACTGACCTTTATCAGATCCGTTTGTAATACTGTACTTTGAGAACAAGTCGAGTGGGGCTCGAAAAGTGGATGATCTCTGTAATAGCACGGATATGCGAGCAATCAGATAAGAATCATGAGGACCGACTGAATTACTGTATTCAAAGATGAATAATTAATTTAATTCAGCATTAAATTTAAAAGACTTTAATTTAAATTCGTAAATCGATGCTATTCAGACCAGATTACATAAACAATAAGGTGCTGAAACGCAGTAAGCCCAAAAGTACAACAAAATTACAATTTATTCGACATTATTCTTTCGAGCACAACGTTCTTTTATCAGCGTGATAGTCGTAAATAGCATTAATTATAAGGCGAAAAAGGTTGAAATGCGCTTCCTGAGACGAATCATCTGCTAACGCGGCTCGCGTCGAGTGAGTTACGAGTTCAGATCTTCGAGAGAGAGAAAAAACCGATTTACAGCCGCTGTCCCAACGGGTCGATGGGTCACAGTTGCGATGGTTTGAATACCGCTTTGGAATGATTCCAGAATAGAAGGCTAAACAGCTCTACTTGTTTCCCTGAGCGAAAGCATGAGGCAAGCGCTTCGACAGATACCAGTGCAGATTTTGGTCAGATGCCGAAGCTCCGACATTGGCATAGAATGAAGAACGTTGGGCACACTGTGTGGAACAGCTGACTCGTCGACCCGAATGGATGTATATATACATACACACACATAGCATGCGAACATAACATCAAAACTGATTGGCTCATTATCTACAGTCAGTAGTAATCATTAGCATCATCACTGAGAGAGAAAATCGTGCCACCGAACATCGTGTGGTAAATAAGTAGCATTCTTTCAGATTTATTACCCCAATTAATTTATTACCAAGGAAAAATGTGAACCAAAATATATGGAGCTAAATGTGTATCCGGGTCACCATTCAAATGATAAGCCAGAAAGCTGCCAGTGCAATGTCACGAGAAAATGCTAAACAGTAGAGAGCGGTAAGACAGGAACGTTGGGGCACTTGTCAGTTCATGAGTGAGTACAAATAAAGATAAGAGAGGAGGAGCCTTATCAAAAAATAATAAGAATAATTAAACGGAATGTGGCTTACGGTTTTGGAGATGAGCTGATCGCGCTGCAGAGCGAGGCAGTGGGATTCCCACTTGCGGAACAGCTGACCATGCCTCAGCCGAGTGGTCAGCTCTCGGCAGGCACGGTCGACGCGGCACACCAGCGCCTGACCTTCGCGCAGCATCGCGTAATGCAACCCGCTGCCGCAGGCTGTGACCGCCGCCGGCGCCGCCGCCATCTCCGTCACTTTACAACCGACACCGCCGAACCCCCCTCGCCTCCATCTGGCGGACGCGGACGAAGGTTTCGCTGTGGTAGCCGTGGTCATCGCTGTCACGTCGTCGGAGGTCATTTGGTCACCACGTCGGTGTCCCCGGATGAGGACGATGTTGCCGCGGACGCCTGCAGCCGCTGCCGACGACATCCACTGTTTGTCCTGTCGAACGTCTTGATCCTCCCGTTCGTCGTCGCTCTCCTCGCCAGCGTGGTGGTGGCTATTGACGAAAGCGACGCGCGCCGGTCGTCGGATCTTGTTCATCACGCGATGTCCTCGAACACCGCCGCCGCCGACGACTACTGAGTCACCGTCGCAATCACCGCCGCTGCCACCAAGCAGACGGCGTCGTGGAGAAGTCGAACAACAGACGAGGGACGAGGAAGCAGAGGCGCTGCTGTCCTCCTCTTCCTCCTCGCAGCAACAGACTTCGTCCTCGTCTTCGTCCTCGTCCTCATCCTCATCCTCATCCACGTCGTACTCTGCTGCTGTCCCCCTGTTGCTGCACACGGAGGTTGTGATACCGACGCCACAACGACCCCATCGTCGGCATCGCCGTACCCCCCTTTTACCGTCATCCACCGGCTGGTACTCCTCGTCCGACGTATAGCGTTGATAGGTCTTGCCCGCACGACTGTCCAGTGTCTTCTGGCCACCGCTAGCTTTCTGTAGCACGCAGGCTGCGAAGCAACGGTAACAACCTCCTCCTCCGACCATGTCGTTCATACAACTCCGCGCACACTCCCGCAGTTCTGCCGCTTTTTCGCACCACATCACCGAAAGACAGCGATTTACAAGCCAGTCAACGACAAGACGGTCACGCGAACGTTGTTACCGTACTCCAAATTATATTGGCTGATTCGCGCTCGATCCACAGGTACAACGCATGTAGGCGGGAAACACGGTGTTTCTGAATTTATACTGCTGCCGCTGCTCATTACTTCTCGTCTTTGCGTCTTTGCTTTATCGCTGTTTCTTCGTCCTCGGCTGATCATTTCCGAAAACACTATTTTACACCGTAGACCAAGATTCACTTGACGCCATGCTGCAGTTACATCCACGTTTCCGTGACGTTGGCCGTTTTTCACGTATGACGTTAATCGTACGTTTGATTCGTTTTCACGCAGTGTTGTTTTTCTTGCTTTGTGTGTTGGTTTGCAGACTCTTTTGAAATTGATGGTATTCTTCCGGTTTCAAAACGATTTTTACTAGCAGCGGCTCCATTCTGCAGGATTGCGGCTCAAGTGCTGTACTGAGGTGTTAAGTCATTGAGAAGAGTGGGGCCTTGTCGATGCCAGGTCTTGCTCAGAAACTTTCAATACTTGAATGCGCATTCACATGCGCAAGATTTTCTAAATCTACTTTTCTCCTTCTTCCCTCGATGTCAATTACTCATCATTCATCTTCTAAGAACTCTACGGATCCGGAGCTGACAGTAATCCTATAGAGAAGTTATTGTACACTTTTCAAAAGAATTGCTTTGAAGCATTAGTCGTGTTTGCCTTTCTTTTTGCCTCATTTTCGTTTTTGTGCGCTGTACTGAAACGGGCCGTGAACACCACATAAATTAAATCTTGTCTGCGATAGCTGGTGAACTTCGATTTGAACGTTAGTTGTCCGTTTATGATGGTCGCCTCGCGACATAGACGTAACCATCCATTAGTTTTATTCGACATTGTTTATGCTGCTTCTCTGGATTTGCTAGTCCCTCGATTATCTACAAGCCTTATATTTGCTTTGGATATCAGAATTGGTCAGGAGGAAGTAAAAACTTTTTAAAGGCAATTGCGATATCGAGAATACTTGTCAGCCTTCTTGATATTCTATGCAACAGTAACCAGTTTCAAGTGGACAGTGCAGCTTTGCGCTTGTCGTGCGGCGGTCACTAAAAACCGACAACTACGCTTCAAGCTCACAGGCTATTGCAGACAAAGGTCGCTTTTCCGCTGTTCATCGCCGCTGCATTGCAGCGTTCGAGAACGAAAACGACAGAAGAAAAGATATGATTAAATAAAAATGCAACTGACGTTTAGAAACCGTTCTTTGTGGCGCGGTGTCGGCTACGTATCTTTAGGAATTCCGTTGTCCGCTTTGAATCTATAGTACTTTAAGTAGGTGAGATGCGACTGACTGACTTCTAGAAATAATGAAACAACGCAGTTTTGCCAATGTTCGTAATTGAGCAGGTGATTGCACCATTTACTATTGAAAACCTGTGAGCAGGATGTCTCAATCACCAGAACATTCGTATTTTTAATGGTTCTCGATTTCTGAGTTTGTCGAATGTGAACTGAAATTTCCGTCACTTACAGACTGCTTTTGTTCCTCTTGCTTCATAAGGCAAATTTTTTCATTAAGGTCGATTGAAAATCATCCCCTAAACACTATGAATCTTATATTTGAATGTTATCACTGCTCATTGACGTTGGAGCTCTGAAATGAAAGTTTTC